GACTGCAGGCTGCCGAATCTCAAAAAGAGAAAGCATCAGAAATAATTTAGAGGGCTAAACCGAAGAAACTATAAAAGTTTTGCGTCGCGTTCATTATACATTTCCTTCGCTTGTCTTTACTCCTTCCCGGCAGTGGCCTGCAATCGTAAAAGGCTACAGATGGAAGCATCCATGCCTCGCCCTTTGGACTCGGTAGTCGCTTTGTTGTGCAATCGCTGTCCGACAAAGCGTTTTAAACAACGACGCTTAGTACGCTCGCGCTTTATGCCTTCCCCATCTTGTTGTGGCCCGATAACGGAACTGTTTTCTGCGCTATGCTAGCTCACATACATGCTCCTACTCTCTCCTGCGTTAACAATGATGACAGCACACCCAACAACGACGACGACGTGACGTCGATGTCGCTCATGCGGATCTACGTGAGTCTAAGGTTCTTCTAGAGCCATATTTTTTAAAATTTCTTCCGTACGGCGAATGTTGATTTTTAGTACGAAGGCATAAAAAGACGACGTCGACGCAAGCCGTCTATCCGCACCCCTGGTCTATGGCTGAGTCTTCACTTAAGCCATAAGTCGTGAGGAACCCCATCATTGCCAAGCAAGGAAAAGTAATGCATGCCTACGCCTCAATCCGATTTAAGGGCCATGGCGTAAATCCAGGTGATATTTCAGCCGTCAGCGCTAGAAGAAGCAGAGGTCTTGGTTCGTGTCCGCACGGAGGCAAGACTGAATCGTACGTGCGTTTATGTGCGTAGAAGCATCGTCATCACTCGAATGGAACGAGAAATGGCGTGGAGAGAGGAAGGAGTATATATCCCTTTTACAGGGCCTGACAATTCATCTGACCTACTGGTAGCCAGGGAAACCTCTGTCCAAAAACTGCTTCCATACGAAATGTCCAGGCGGAATTCTTATAAGCAACTTATGGACGGTACTTCCTTAACGTTCCCTATACGAAGAGTATAAGATAGAATCAAAGCATTCGGTATCCGCCGACCGTAGCACTGTGTAATACAATAATGATTGTAACACCTACAGGGGCGGCGTGGACCAAATGGCTAATGCGAATCTTTATTAGTACGCTGCTTACTACAATATAATCATTGACCAACAAACATGCAGCTACGCTGGTTCCTTATGAAGGAATTATTATCAAGGTTAATAGGTCTTCATGTATGCTTGAAAACTTCACATAATATCCACCCTGGTTAGACATCTAAGGCAAGCAAGTTCTTAATCCTGTACTAAATGAGAGATGATTCCGATTACTTGTTCATATACAAATAACAATCGGGGGTGTTGTGATTAAAAAAATATAGCCAATAATCTTATTTCAAAGGAAATACTTGCATGGATGTGTTACAGAATGCTTTTCCCCTGTGTAGATCCTTTTTAATTAGAGGAATGCTTTTTCATCGAGGAGTAAGGGCTCCAGCTCGAATAGAGCGTTGTATACTTTTTTTTCTAAAAAAAAAAAAAGAATTTTTCGTACTGGTTCTATAATAATAAAGTCGATCAGAATATCATCTTAAATGAACGGTGCGCTTCGAACGAATCACCAAGTGATTTTCAGAAAGGCTTCTAATCCATTATTTCAAAATACTTACAGAAGAGAGGCCTTATTGCTCCACAGCCTTTTAGTCAGCTAAATCAGAGTACTTACTACTATAGTCATAGGACAGCTGGTCTACGCCACTTTTAACAGTGTGGGTCTAGTATAACATCCAGCGGCTCGAAACTGGATTACTGTGCCCGCTTTGTGGACCCTATATACCTGAAGCGTAGAATTTTTCATACAATTGGAAGCAAGCGGTTGTCGCCTGCATAATAGGTTACCTATTCATCCTTTTGTCGTACGCACCGACACTGCGTCGAGGCCAATGCGATTGTTTAACAAGTCAAATTGAAAAATTTCGTAGGTTTCGAATAGGCGGCATAATGAACGGCCTTAACCAGCTAGTACAACCGTCGAAAAAAAAAAAAAACGTGAGATATCGCAATAGTCGAATTTCGGAAAAATTAGAAAAACCATAAGGTGCCCTTCGCAGTATAGTTAACCTACACGTTTTTATCATTCGTGTCCGAGCAGGTCATAACACATGCTAGCACCGCTGTGACGATTTTATTTCCTTACTATATAAGCATACGATCTAACTGAATTTAAAACTATTAATTTCTATAAGAACTAGTGGTCCGCGCATCAGCACTAAGTATGATTAAACTGGCTTGGTATTTATTTTTATCGGATTTATTGAAGAGTGGTTTGTCTAGCATTGGCAAGAAATAATAGGATACAATTGCTTTAAGGTACAACAGTCTTCTCGCCATATCGCGGAAATTTCCGATCGTTCACTTGCTCTCTGACTCTCGTCTCGTCCGATTTCTTGATCCACTCGCTACCATCAGTCTGTTCAAATCTTCTTGGTCTTTCGAGTCGCAGCCTTGTGCACCTACTCGCATTGTTTTTATTGTTGTTGTTATTATTGTTGTTATTATTTTCATTATTATTATTATTCCCTAGACATCAACGCCCCCCTCGGCTCAATTCTTCACATACACCCACCAAGCATTCTTCAGAATTTCGGAACTCTTTCTTGGTCTTCTTACCACCAAGGAAATATAGCCGCAAAATGTCGTTTTCCAGATTTCTCTCCGCTTCCTTTCTCTGCCCGGCTTTTTCTCTCTGACATTTTAACATATCATGATACTTAGTCGATTACCAGTGGTCATCTCTAACTATGTGGCCTAAGATTTGAAACAATAATCCGATGTTTGCTAGATTGTAACATGCCGAACGCGTGCACATAAGCCTGTCTTTTTTTTTTTTATGATTTCTGCTTGTCTGTTGGCGTGTATGCATGTACGTCTAAGTGTATGTTCGTGCTCTATAAGGGCTAGTGGTATACATTACACGCTCCTGTCTCACGCATGACTCAACATAGCAATATTCTCCCATATTTTTGAATAGCGATGCCCTATACTTCGTTTCGGTTTCAAACACAACAATAATTTTTTGCTGAAGATACATATCGCACAGGCGGTCATTTACTCTCTAAAACACCATTGTTGACCAGTCCTCGTACCCATTTCTACTTTAGTCTTATTGACAGCCATCGTGCTCCGAAACGTCGACAAATCTTTACATCAGAACGTACAGATGTGACTATCAGACAAATGCTCCTAGCCCAAACATTCGAGCTACTACTCATTGTCAGTATTCATCTACAGACTGAACCAATCACACATAGCAGATACTCACTTTCTCTCTGCTGAACGCCATGCGCACGTGAAGAGTACGTTCGCTACTTTCCCGTTGTCTAATATGTACGTATGTGCATTTCTATGTACTTTTTCATAGGCTTATCGTTTTCTGTGTATGTTTCTATCGTTACTTCTCTCTATATATATATATATATATATATATGTGTGTGTATGTAGGCTATGAGTCGATTTGTTTTTTTTTGTTTTTTGATAACTAATCAGCTGACTTGTACAGGCACACCACTTTTTGTCTGCAGTAATAGCCCAGCCTCATAATTCTATTACTTGATAAGTAAGACGTAGCTTCTTTCACTACCTTTGTCGACATTACCTAAAAAACTAAATAAATAGTAAAGAAAAAAAAAACATAATATACATTGTTGTTACGAGTCTTTCTGCCGTGTGTTTAATTGTTTTGAAGTTCTTATCTATTTCTGATCGCTTCTAGCCTCCTTCCCCCCGGAATGCTTGTGTTCAGCTGGCCTGTAGGTCGCCCCCGCTCCCTCTAAGTGCTCGTGTTTTGACATTATGTTACGCAGTCATCTTCCTAAGTAGCCAGTCACTATAGTTCTGACCGTAACCACCTCATTTATTAGTTATATCGTATGTCATGATCGAGGCAATCATCGGCAAAATAACATCACGATCCTATCTTTCATTATCTATTATTACTATTATTATTATTATTGTATCCCATGTGTATCTGGCTCGCAGTCTTCTCAGTCACAAATTAACACATTATTTCATCGTTATAATAATTATCATCATCAGTAATCGTATCATCACGATATTATTGTTTTTCGTTATTACTTAGTTCGCTTATTCTTCATTGACTTGTTATTATTATTATTATTTGCTGCGCTTTCAGTCTCTGCACAAAAATTATTTCGCTTCATTATTCTCGTATATCATCTTCTTTATTAGTGTTAGCCTTTCTTCTTCTTCTTCTTCTTTGCGTTGTTCCTGTTATAATCCGTAATTTTTTTTTCTTCTTCCATCACCAGTTTTATAACTGCGATCCTTCTTATTACCCTAGCGTTTATCTTCGTATCAAGGAGGCAGCTCCTTAATCCATTATGTCGTCATCTTTATCTTCATTACAATTGAGATCATATTAATACGCTGATAATGATACTGAATAGTAGTAGTAGTAGTAGTAATTATCGTCATATGATTTGAAGTAGAGCTGTTTCGCTGTCCAACATCCCTTCGATTTCCATCTTTTCACTATCATCAATTTTCGCTGAATCATGTTTGCCAAGGCCAACAGGAAACTTCTGGATAGATCGTCCCTCGTAGTTCAACTACAGGATGTTCCGCGTGCCCATTTCAGTGTTACAATATGATATATGTTTATATACATAGGGATGTTTTTCTTGGGTTATGTTTATCTGTCTGCGCGCTTCGTTTGTGAGTGGATCTCAGCTGTATTCAACTATTGTTTGACGATACTCGATATGGATAAGTGATTTGTTTGTCGTCTTAGAAATTCATCTCGGCTCAGGCCAGTATTTTGCAGAGCGGCTTCAGCATCGTTTTTGTTTCGACTTCAAATCTGTCCATTACGAATTGTGATAATCAGCGTTATAATAGTAATAAAAATAACAACAACAACAACAACAACAACAACGAGTTCTAATGGTAACATGAAGTAAACTATCTGCACTATATCTCGGATGCTCCAATGAAACTAATCTTTTTTTTTTTTTTTTTTTTTTTTTTTTTTTTTTTTTTTCGGTACTTTGCCAGTATTTATCAGTTATATTGTCCGTGGTCATAATTCGCACCTTGCGATGCGACAGGCCGGAGGTAGGCTGGTGCCTCCGAAGGTTTAATGGGAAGCGCAATCTTGTACCTCATTGACGAACTCCACAAACGAAAGATACTTGTTTTCGCTCATTATACTAACAACAGTAATAACAATTCAGTAGCAAACGTTTGATCCATTATTATCATCGTCACCATAATTTATGTAACTAATTAACGATATATATGTATATGTATATATATATATCACTCGTATAGCCATAATAAGCCACCTCGAAATAGCTTTTTTGTCGTTATTGTCCCCCTTCGCACACTTCATCATTTCATAATCATTACTATTATTTACCATTTATTGTTATTAATTTTTTTCTTTATTTGCGCTAAGCTTCAATGCGTTTTTGAATCTCATGGGGTCCTCTCTCGCGTGTCGCGTCGCGTTAACGCCATGTGCAACACGGACGACGGCGGTGGACCGGATGTCGAGCACGGTCAGGGTGATTAAGGATTTCTTATGCTTTCTTGCAGCGCACTCTTCCTCCCTCGCCTTATATGCTCCCCACATGACACCACATTTTCCCGCTGTGTAAATGTTGTTTGGTTGTCGTTGTGCTAATCTATGTCTCCTGCATCTTTTCTGTTATAATGTGCTACATACTTCGCTTATTATTTCCATGAAAATGGGTTTAGCCAACCCCTCACTGGTTTTCTTGGGGTTCCCTTCGTTCGTTCAAGCTACTAGTGGTCAACACACTTTTGCCACTCTTTAGCCGCTTAACTTTTATCAATCAACAACTGTATTTGTGTAGCCATACTTGAGCAACGATTGACGGCGAAAAAACACATATAACCACTAAAGTAATATGTATGTATACACTCGTATCTATGTATATTTACTGGCATGTGTGTATACAACTGTGAGTGTTTTCTGATGATTGTATGTGTTTATAAAATGTGGTACGCGGTGCGTACGTGTACCGAATGAGTGAATCGACAGGACCAAGAAAAACAGAATTATTGACTTTGACCGTTGTCCTTTCGTTTATGTATCGGTGTTCTGAGATGGAGTCTCCGCAGGCGCTTTTGTCAGGACCACATCATTCACGGCTGTTTTCCTATTCTGTACGTGCGTGCATGCATGTGTGCGTTCTCCTGTTCGTCCCTAAGTGCTCTACCTTACTTTACCCCAGAGCCTATCCAACTTCAATCGAAAGTCCATTCTGTGCTAGTTCTTCCACGCTATCTTCATGTATCACGTTCCATTTTTCAACTGTGAATCTGCGGGTGCATGTCCCGCATCTTGGTAATACACGGCCTTCTTCCATGTGCCCATTAAAAAAGTATTGCATTGTCGCTTCTTCTTACACCTCGTCCAAAAGTTGTGCTTGTTGCCAACAACAACCGAGCCAAGGTCATTCTACCTTATTTTCTCTTATTAGCCTTATTATATGTCTATGCTGATATGGAATTTGCATACGAAGCAAGTTGGTCTCGACCGTTCAAACGTCCTATTTTCCTAACGTTTAACAAAATAAAAGACACAAGCGTATATAATATCGTACGTCCAATACATCAGTATCAACACACATCTCGTATGTATGTTCAATAACAATACTGTTTCTCGTTTGCGTTCGCGAGAGCCCAGCTCGACATTCGGCCCAGATTTGGGGACATGCGTTTGTTCTCCGTCGATGCGAAAACCGATTGTCTGTGTAGAGTACACGAAGCAGTACGCTATCGATCCGGCCAAGTAGCTTCGTCATCATCATGATACTTATCAATGAATACTTAAGCTGTAGTATCGCGTCAGCGATAAAAACGAAAATACCGTTTCTATTATCTCGTAGCATTCATGCGTCAAACAGCTGCTCGCACGAACTCCTCCAATCATTAGATTATAACCGACGGGCCGTCTCGTCTTGTACCAGATTTAGCGAAAACGTACCTCTTCGGACAACACAGCGAACCGGAACCTAAATGGTCTCACTATAGAGATATGATCCGCCGCCGTGTTCCCTCCAGACCCCACACTCCTAGAACCTCCCCGCTCATCCCGTTATAACCATCGTTATCTAATTTATCTGGTTGTTGTTGTTGTTATTCGTTTATTGATGTGTGTATATGTTTGTCTGAGTAATATTTAGATTAACCAACTAGATCTTCATGGGAAGATCGTTTTTAACATTGTTAGTCATTGCAATATATTCACCATCGTAATTATTACAGTAATGTTATTATCAATGTTATTATTACTACTGTTATGAAGTAGTGTTTTATTATTATAATTCACATGTTTCCATTACTCTATAATAAATACTCTTCGCTTCACCCCGCCCGAGCGGTCCTCATGAGGGGATATTATCTACTACTGTGTATTAGATCGTCATAATAATGTGAGGTCTTTGGCTGTAAGCCTAAACTAGATTATCTGGATTTAATCATGTTTGCCTGTAGGACGTATTCTATATTGTTTTTCCCTGTCCGTCCTGCTTTCGTCCTAATTATGCCTATGTTTTTTTCTAATTCTAATGCTATCACAGACTTATAGTTCCTGCTGAACGAAAAGATGTAGCTAATTACATTGCAAACAAGTACTTTTTCCCATTTCTGTTACTTACTGGTGCTATATCAGTCTGTCTCCGTCGAAGATCCTAACATAGATTTTGCATTTGATATTCGTTGGCCAGTACACGCCATGCTACCTCTGTGCTCGTCAATGCAATCTGGGAACAGAACAAGGATTTGGCCAGTTTTTTCTTTACAATTGTCTACGACTTTGCCAAGATGTCTCACGTATTCCTTAACAGGCTTCTAACACCTTCCAGCGTGCTATCAGCGTGCCACGCTAGAACTGCGCGAATCTATTTAAAGACAGCGTCTACAGAAGGCTTATGTGTCTTTTTTTCGCAAACGCTGTATTGACAAAGACGATTTTAGCGATGCTATGAAAATGATCTTTTACATTATTCAGAGCAGATCTTTTTTTGGCGAGGTGGCATTAACCAATTTTTTTTTTATAGGAGTCCAATATATATAGTATTGGCAGCAGACAGATGAAAAGGATACGGTGCAGTACCCGAAAGCGGGTCAACGGTCGGGCACCATGGGCAATTTTATTGGATTACTGAGTAGTTGTTATTGTTGTTCTCGTCGTTTGTCACTACCGGGTTGTCAATTTTCTTTTATTCGAAGGTGTCCACACTTAGGCCGTAACTAAATTCATTATTTTCTTTTTACAAATCGTTGCTCATAGACAGTTGCGATGAGTAGAGCTGTTTCTTGTTTTGGACGAAATACACGGACCGCTCGGGGAACACACTTTGCTCAAAGGACCTCCTCACAAAAGGAATTGCGTTGTCCTCTTTTCTCTTTTCACGGCCCATTTTTTAACCCAAAGTTTTAAACCGGCCCACCTCTCGTTATGTTTCCCTATGACACGTATCGGCCATTGACCTTTCACGTTACCGTTCTTCGTTATTTTTTTTACTTATTAGCTTGTCAGCAGCTGGTGGCGCATAGACCTCCTTGTAACGCATCATTATCACCACGGACCAGATCTTATCATCAGCGATATACTCGTATCTTTACTTATCAGTGCCATTTACCACTGACAGATAAATTTTATGATATTCTAAACCTAACCAACAATTTTGTGAACACTGTGTACGAACAGTGCCCCACATTCGGTCGGTATCTGCCCGCACCGAACACTTACGTATGCTCATTAGTTTCGTGTGTTAATTGTTTATGGTTTTTAATTAGCTGCTTCCTGTTGGGTTTAGCTAGTCTGAATGAACGTTATAAACGCACCAGAGGGCGTCGAGCTGGCTGGCGCGTGCCAAATTTTTAGGATCGAACTTTTGACAAAGTCGCAGTTCACAAAGAGGACACAAGATATGATTGATGTCGGGCAGGCTGTGTCCTCTATCGTGTCTGGCTTTTATCAGGTTATTACTTAGTTCTCGCTCGGAAGTAAAATAATTTCTATCAATATCAAGCAGTCGGTTTCAATTTCGTGCGATCCCTATTAGGCCCACACCCTGAGCGTGAAGTCCCAGCTGCCGGTGGAGAGCGCAGTACCGTCGGGTGATATCTTTAGGCAAGTGACTCGATTTTCGTGTCCGTACAGAATCGTGAGACGAGTGCCTTTCAAAGTGTCCCATATATTGATCGTGTAGTCGTTATAGCCAGCGAACAGCATCCGGCCTGAAACCAGTTCATAGTAAAAAGCCCAAATGCAAGTATTACATCTCACTATACCTGAGTCCTATCTTTTATTTTTGCTTTCAAGAACAATTTAGCAAAATTGTCCTGTTTTGTATCGGACAAGTCGGAAATTCTAAACGTCAAGCCACAGGGACTGCGTTGAAAAGTGAGTCATTAAGTCATAGAATTTTGATTCGCGTTCCGCTCGATGAAACATTTCAGTATTCATCCTAGTCTTGAATTAACTAGGACTCTAGTGGGACTGGATTTTTACGAATCTGTTTCAGCGAACTTTTTTCTTGCAATCATATAAAGTAACGAAAACCGCAAGCTATTGGTAGCAACCTTGCCAAGATCACACATGTAGAGCTTTAGATGGTCTGAGTGTTCTTTCGAATGCTTACCGCTCACGCTGAAATCTACTGAGTTGACGCCAAAAATTATACTTCGTTTTGTGTACATTGCAACTTCTCGATCTGCGCGAAGATCAAATAATCGACACTGAAATAGATGAGATACATAACGACACAATAATTCCTTTGCTGTTACCTCAATTAATCGAAGTACGAAGTGAATGAAGATCTTGCAGTTTCATCAGGCAGAGTCAGAGAGCCCGTTCAAACTTCAGTGTAAGTCATAGGTATGAAACAGTTCCTCTTCTAATCAATAAGGTATTTACCAGCATCGAGAGCAAATTCGGCTCTGTACGATAATGTTCTACGAAGCGTGATTTATTACATTATTTGATTACGGCTTTGGAAAAGTGCTACTAGGCATTTGGTGTTGGTAGAAAAACAATAACAGGAGTGAGCACCTTACTTTAAATATTTAGAGATTTAGATAGTTCTGGACAAAAAGAAAACAGGGACGACTAGTTGAAGAAGTGCCCATACGTACCGTAGCATCATCGGATCCTGTGACAATAGCATCTCCGCTAGGGTAAAACTTTACAGTGTTAATATCCGCATCGTGGCCTTCGAACGATTGCACACACTGGCCAGATCGCATATCCCAAATTAAAGCCTGACGATCACAGCCCTAAACGCAGAATATGCCTACGTATTAGAAGCCTTGTCGACTTTCATATGTATTATGTATGTGTAGACATATTCCTCTTCCCTGAGCTAGAACCTATCGCTGTCTAGGCTTCAGCAAATGAACGCTATTTGCCTGCATGTGACGGAAAACAATGTACGACCAGCCTCGTAACCAAACCTATGTCATACTAAGCAGATCGCATTGGTCCTGCACCAATTTATACTTAACGTGCTAATTCTTTGGACGCTTACCGCTGATACGAAGGTGTTACCCATCTCCGTTGGTGAGAGATCGACAGACATCACATCGCCCGAATGACCATGAAAGCTCTGCAGGAGCTGCGAACATTCAACGTCCCACAGGGCGCACGTGCTGTCTCCGCTGCCCGTCAATATCTGCATCAAACGTTTAAACATAAGTTATACCAAGCCGTATATAAAAATCACATACAATACACAATTACGCTGTAAACAGGTTTCAGACACGAGGAAAAATCTTCTCCTACTGTCGTTTCTATTATATACTCTTCCGATTTTGGGATACGTCTTCAATCGTCATTATTGTTTTTCCTGAAGCACACGTCGAGCGTAGTGAAAAAATCATGTATGGTAATACAATGATAATACAGCATTTCTAAGTATCAATTCACATGACGATCCTTCAATGAGACGTCTGCGGCGTTTAGAGGTAACGGCGAAGACATACCTCACTTGATTAGGTCATAGTCATGTCCTGTTAGGATCAACAACTCGAGTTTTTCTGTGCGCAACTTTGTCCAAGTAGCAAACAAAGAGGTATTTTGCGCCTATTTACATGTAGGTATACCAGAGTGGTTGACTGGAAGATGCCACCTCTACTATGAATTGATACATTAGCATAGTAAACACCTACCTGTTGGTCAGAGTTAGGAAAAAGACAACAGGACATGTAGCTGGTGTGCGTGCCGACAGCTTTTTTACGCTGCGACACATCGTCTTCAAAGCTAAGTGGGTATACCGTCACCTTATTGTCCAAACCCCTGTAATTTGGAATTGTTGTCAAACGAGCAGAAAAAAAAACGTTATTAAAGAATAAGTCATGGAAAAAAGTAACAAGGTCCTCTGGTACATGCCACAATTATTAGGTAAAAAATAAAGTAAATCAACAATTTAAGACGTTTTATAAAAAAAATCGAGGAAAGTCAGCCATTAGGATAAGTAAAGAAGTGTAGAAATTTTTCTACATGAATAAGATGAATCGAACTTAAATGAATATGTTGGTCATGAGGCAGACGATTACCATTTCTGCGCCGAATTCGCCTACGATGCTAAATAAGTGCTTTTCCTGCATAAGTATATTTAATAAAACCTACATTATAATTATATGATCAATAGTTGTCAAGCTGAAATATAATAACCAAAAATAATAAACGAAATAGTCACACGTTAGAGGCTTTCACATATATTGTGATTGGAAAAACGAATTCACTCCTTCGAGTTAGCATCTGGCCGCCCTAAGACCTTTTTACAGATTATATTTAAATCGTGAACCATAATGATTAGGTTTATCTTAAGGACAATGCTCAAGACCTGCATTGCCACTTCTCCGATTCATATTTGACAGCAAAAATAGAATAGATGATTATTAGAGACAGTGCATTTACTGTTGTCGTCCTCACCCGCAGGCAACCATGTTTCCTGAAGGGGCATAGGCGCAGGCCATTACCCACGTCGTCGGCATCGTAACTGCATGCTCCTGAAACGAAGAGCGATGGCTTATTTTCTGTTAGCATGTGATCTCAAGCGTAACCGTAACGCACAATGGTCAATATTGTTTTTAGCCATATCGTTCCCTTTTTTCGTATGCTCTAAAAACCTACAAAAGCCTTAAAATTCACTATAAAAAGCCCTAGATTTGCCTCCCAAGAATCTGTCTAAACAAGTTTGAGCACTGGGCTTCGTTTTTGAGATCTTTCAAATTTCTAATGTAGCAAAGATTGGTCATTATTCAAATAAATAGTATAATTAAACAATTAATATATTATTATTTATTGTTATATAATTTAAAGCGGATAATTAAATAAATACTGCCTGTGTTGAACAACACATGCAGTATTTGTTTAATTCATTGAATGATGATGGTGATGACAATGAATATGAATTGAAACATAATTAATTGAATGAATTTCTAAAGTACTCAGCATTGTATTTTCCAGGATGCATTTTGTTTCAGAGTGACATTCTCGACCGATCTCTACAAAATAGACGCTATGCTGTCTTTGACCTTGGGCATCCTAAGTAGCGATCATCCATAATGACTGTGGGCTTTAGCCAGTTTTCTCTCGACCCTTAAAAATGGGCACGTTCCATAACACGCGTTTCGCAAGGGATCCTTTCTGGCTATGTCGAGTTTATTACTGAGTGTCTTCGTCACTCTTGTACGGTTATTGCACTGATAATTTCGAGAGCATCTAAACCAACATATCGGCACGCTCTCACTGAAACATGCGTTGAACACGATGAAGACATTCGCGATTGTCTGCGTTTTTGGCTCTTTGACGATTAGGATCCCATTGCTTGCCCGTGTGGTTCATCGCTTGTTGTCCTTCCATGTCGACAAGCATATCGATACGACCAAAGCTTGTGAGAAGTAACAGGCCGACATCAGGCAGTTACGGTAAACACGCGTAATTGCGATTCTTCCTATCGGGCAGAATAAAAGGTGACTAAGTGTGGCTCTTACTCAAATAGCGATAGGACAACCGATAAGTATGGGTTCGCAATGGTAGGTCTGGACGAATATTCTAAACAGCAAAGTTCAAACCGGCTTCAACGACCATCCCCCCTCTGGTTTAACACAGGAGGCCGTGACAGCAATCAATCGACTGATAGTCGTTTCATTTTCCCAGTTTTTGCCTCGACTAGCATACAGATCATACCCTTCCCCAAAACCCATCCTTTACGTACTATGTGTACGATACACGTTTTATGGTGTAAGCTTGAGCTCCAGCTCTGCAAAGCTTACTTAATCGGTGTTACAACAGCATTTATTAGTTACTGCATATCCTTGTCTGACGTTCGATTGGAGCAAGAATATTTTGGCCAACGCCACCTCGCCCGCCAGTGTAGGACAAAAAAAAGATAAGTTAAAAAATAGTAGGATACCAGAGGTGATATGCTCTAACACTTAGCTTTTAGCTTGTATGAGGGCGTTTATCTGTCCGTAAAAGGGAGTGACCTGCTAGCCCTGATTTGATTTTAAACGGGATAGCTTTGTCCCCCGATCGAAGCAATAGCTAAAACGACCAATTACGATAACGGCAATATAACCGAACAAAACGCTCTATCTGAAATACGCTTTCTTCTAGCAACTCCTTTTTCCCCGCGTCTTTCTAGCTAGGTGTAATCAACGCATCGGTAGCTGATTCCAAAATGGTCGATGCCACCTTACTGCCAAACGCCAGATCTTGGAATAGTCGTACCGTGTCTGAGTAGAATAAACACTGTTAGTTCCACCGAAATGGCGCAGCAGGCAGCGATAAGAACGTGAAAAATATTTCGGCCCTAGCATTATTTATACCAGACGAACTTTTTCTGGCAAACTTCACCGACAGGTTCGGTGGGACCCATACCAAACTAGACTTCGGAACACCTACCTTGTTGGTGGTAAATGCATCCCAGATGATCATTTTTCCGTCTTGCGATGAGCTGACAATATGCCGCTTATCCATGGACCAATCGGCGCAAAGCACCTTGCCTTGATGGCCTTTGAGGACGCGTCGTGGCTTGATATTCACCGGACCTATCGTCTCGAGGCGCTGAGCAATTGTCGACACTGAAACACATCGTGCACATACACAGGGACACAAATACAGAGGCGAAATAAACAAACGTAAGCAGTACAAAAGAAGCAACGAGATACTCGCAACAAGTTTCGCTACTCAGGACTCCCTCTTCCCTAGCCCGATCCCCCGTTGACCTCTCCCTTTCTCGTTTATAAACGAAAATTTCCGCATCGACATTACAGACGATTGCAGTCGGTAGGCCTGCTGCGTACAGGTAAAATTTCGTCCAGCGACGTAACTTGACAGCCGCCTACGTTAAAAGGCCTCGGTACAAGAACATCGATTTTTGCGTTGTTGAGTTAAGTTTCAAACAATCACATTTATCTATCAGATCAATAGATTTTACATTGGGCTTCACACTGGGCCAACATGGCGTAACACCTGTCCACAGCGGTCGTAAAAATATGCTAAAGGCGGTTATACCGAGGGCGAGCAAAAGTTGTCGAAGTAGAAAAATATCCATGTCGTGAAACGTACAGAAGCAAACACCCATTGGTCGAGTCGACAGCCGGGTCCATTGACAAGTTTCTTACGTCTATAGCACTACTATACGATACGATGGCTGCTCACGATCCGGCTACGTACATATATAAACGAGAGATTTAACGATTATACTTTCATATGTATATGGACTCGGTTCGTATATTCCCTTATGAGATGGCCGTGGTTAGCCAATTAACGAACAAGTTGTTTACTATTAGGAGGGTGATCCACAACAGACTTTTAACTCCTAGGATCGTTCACGTCACTTTTACCAACGGCTGAAGCAAACGTATCCTTTCCTATCGATTTCGTTTGCGTTGTTTCGTCATTTTGACGTCTTTCATCACCATTAGCATTATCTTGAAATCTCGACGGAAGCGACAAGGGATAAGGACCAAACCTGCTTCGCCTTCGATGACGAATTAAGCGACAGCAATCGTCGAGGTGTACACGAGCTAACGTTTACTTTTCGTAATCTCCGCGTTTGGCGCGGACAAATACATACACCGAACGAGAATACACCCACTAACCACTACAGCTATCTAACATTGGTTATTGGTTGAATACTGCAAAAGACACCAGCACCACACGTTTCTTTTTACATGTTACATCCTACTTCACACTACTCTCGCTACTCACGAGCGACATCATTGAGTTTTCTGCGCTCCTCGTCGAGCTTCAGCTTTAGGTGCTCGATTTCCTTGACTAACGATTCGACGGTTTCCTGCTGGACCGGCAACGGAGCTGCCTGCTGCTGCTGCTGCTGTTGCACCTGCTGTTGTTGTCCACTTTGGTTGGCCTGGGCGGCCGGTTGTCCGGTGGTAGGTCCGTGCGGCTGTAGGGCGTCGCTTGCCTCGGGCTGAGTAGCCATTGCTGCCGCCGCAGGCGTCGTTTCGAATGGAGATAAACGACGCGCGGCTCAGCCAGCAGCCGATCAACGATCAGGGGCGGCAGTGCGATCAGGGCGGCAGTGCGATCAGGGCCGCAGTGGGGCCACCGCTGAGCAAGCCAGCGGAGCCAACTATTACACGATAGACCACTACCGATTAGCACCACACTACCAGCTTCAGTAGGCCGACATACAGCTATAAGAGGACCTCGGTTGGCTTGATGCGATGGTACGATAGACAGGCGCGCTAGTGCAGACAGACAGACAAAGGCACCTACTCATGCAATCAACCCCTTTGCAGACGCGCGCTCTCTCGGCCCTTCAGACACACACTTGCAGACGCGCACGCACACACAGACAGAAAGACAGTAAGTGAGGGGGGCAGTAGGGGCGCAGGTCGGGAGCCGAACCAAAAGCAGAGCAGTACAGCCGCCACCGTCCGAGGTTCATCCAGAGTCACTGAAAGCCAAAGTCGCCTCGCCTACTGCTGCCAGTGCCTTTGTGAATCGCTGCCTGCCTTGCTTTCCTAGCCGGTTTGCCTGGCCTCACTGCATCTTTGCCTCTAGCAGCTAGATGGGTTGTTGGCTGTTTGACTGGTACTTGCTGCGGCCTGCGCGGGTCTTGCGCTCCTCGAGACTTTGGCGCATGCGTTAAGTTACCAACCCCTCTGAGAGAACGCGGCTTTCCGACGGCTCACGGCTCCTCGTCGCTGGCGGTTAGTCAGTTCTCGATGCCTCCTCGTTGTTCGAGGAGGAAGTGAAGGGCCTCTTTCCATCTGCTCGCTCTTCTGTTTTCCACCTTGCGTACCTTCTCCGATTTTTTTTAATTCTTTGTTTCATGTGTTTTCTTTTCGAGCGACGAAAAAAGGACAGGCAGGATTGTCGCCTCGCTTCTATAGCCACGAAATTATCGAAGAACAGGCGGCGAAGACTGCCATCGGCATTCGCATCTACGCGTATCTGCTCACCACGTATGGGCCCACAAAGAAGTAGAGCAGGGTGCGTATCGTCAGTGAGGTATAATCCTAAGGAACGCGCGGGCACGAGATTCTGTGCAGCTCCGGAATGGGCTGTAAAGGTAGCGTGTCATGATCTGGTAGTGAAGTACCCGACAGGGCGCTGTACACGGGCACCGGATACCGAGTAAACTTGTTTTCATTTAGCTGATAAAATAAACGGAGTTTGAGCTCCATTTGCCCGGTTTGCTTTGTTACGATTCGTTGGATAGACCGCCTAGATAGGCTACAACAATTCGAGCGCGAATATTATGCATTAATATATTACTAGTTTGCTGATCTTTGGTATTCAAAAATGTTTTGACATATACTGCTTCTATCTAATGGCACTAGCCCATGACCACGTGCCTCTAGAACTTAACTGGAACCATTAATGACAATATGGAACTTTCAATTGTTCAATAGGTAAGGTACGTAAAATGTATCTTTTAAGAGCGTTGTGTGTGATCTTATCTTTCTGCTTATAGACTTCACCCGTTACCTTTGAAAAACCTTCTTCCTTATTATGTCCCGGACTACCATTTCTATCAAATCGTTAACTTTTTGCTAGTTAGACGCTGTAAAGTTCCGATGTAACTTTGTCTCGCAGTTAGCTGTTCTATGGTGCCGAAAGTTAATCCAGTCAGGAATCTGCTGTTGTAGAACATCGGGTTCGCCTTAAATAAATAACTTCAAAACCGAATTTAAAGGAACACGTCTTGATAATACTGCTCAGTTTTTATATGGCTTCATGAGTAGGTTTAGGGTAATCTATTAAAGCTCGAAAAGTGAGTAGCGGGTTCCTTGCGTGGGATATCAGACTGGCTAATTTGGTTTTTGTTAGCATTTTTTTTTATTGAAAACATACCTAATAATGGGTTTCCAATTGGCTGTCGCTGTCAACGATATAAGAAAGACATTTTCTCTAAAAACACATTGATGATACTAGAAATTTCGGAAATGAGTTTTTCATCATCTATTTTCCAATACAGTTTACTTGAGAATTTAGCTTCTCTAAACTACGTAACTTGGCTACCTTAAGAGCCCAATTTTTAAAGTCAATACTTAAAATGTTTGATCGTTATAATATTAAATGACTCATCATCGGAGATAGCAAGTACTAAAATTATAATGATTTCCAGTTCTGGTTGTTTTGTGGTAAGTTTAATAAGCTCTGATTAAGAGAACTTTTTAGCCTTATATTACATTTAGCTATTCTTCTAGTTACCTCGGTTTTTTGAAAGTCTTTCCGCTATAATGGCTATATCTTACCTCATTATTCAATTGCCGGTATAAAATTTGAGAATTTTTTCATCGATTGCCTAATATTTTGCATCGATTTAGGGTATTATGGATCAACAAGCAACACGTTGATATTTGCAGCGCTTATCTGTTTGGCCCCACCGATAGAACAATGCTTTCAATTCAACGCAATATTTTTTACAAAGCCTTCTGCGCGCCTAACTGTTGTTTTCTTCTTCCTCTTATTTTTTCTTGTTTTACTCGTACGACTAATCTGGCTATTTATGCAAAAATATACATTGACGGCGTAAATACATAAACGAAAGTAGACCAGATTGAGAGTCAACGACAATTGACAAGAGCTTCAAGAGTCAAAACAATTTATGAAGTATCTAATTAATGAAGGACTCCCAACGTAACCCATAGGCTATAAGACCCGTAGTATGATACGTGCTTTGATTACTTAAGGATAAACTGGACCTTTAAATGTTTAGGTTTTTAGACATCGCATGGTATATTTTTAAAAAAGTGGACGCTGGAAGAACAGAAAAATTGGTTACGTATATGTTCCAGGGGACGCCCGTTATCTACGTGATAAGATTAGTATCAACAGCTGCATAAAAACGAAACCAGGCGAGAATACTATACTTACGCTAAAACTCCTATACGCTAACCGCTATTTTGGTTCTCGTATACGAAGGCCGAAGTACAAACTAAATCACGAGGATTAAGGTCAGAGTTTTTATCTTAGAAATGCCTGTAACGCTTTGAGTAGAAACATGATTCCCAACGAGATGCCAATGAAAGAGCGGTCGGTAAACTGTACGAAAGCAATCAGCCAGCCATACGATTATATGCCCGCCAGCTGAAGTGTTTAGGCGTCTGAGGATCCATTCCGGTAGCGCATTCAAACAACTCAGTCAATGCCCAACGTGCAACTCCATTGTCCTCCTTGATTATTACTCATTGTTCACTCCGTATCTTATTCGTATTTAATAGCGAACTTAATTACCTCAATATGCGCATAGGATATATACGTACGTCAAATCGATTAACTTGATCATGCTTGCCGGCGAAAAAATACTAGTCTACCTTGAAGTTTTTCAGTGAAGACGCAGTATGAAGAAGCTTTACACACCCATGATAATGCCCGTCTCAGACGTCAATTATCGAAAATTATCAAAAAACAATTCCAATTAAGCAAAAAATCAGCTGAAAAAAGCAATTTTTTTTTAGCAAAACTCTCCCCGTATTCTCAGAAATATCACTAGCGGTAAATTTTCCGTACGCTAAAACTGCAAATAGTGGAGTTAAATATATAATTAGTACTAGAGTGAACTTGTGTGCGATAGTAAAACACATGGTTGTATTTACAAGAAAATTTAGCTTTTATAAGCCTGAGTATATTTTAAGCCATTTTTAGCATTGCAGCTCTTATCTAACTGTCGTCACCTAAATTAACAACTGTGTAGGAATGAAGAACGCTTCTTTGTGCCGGATCGGTAATTAACGTTGAATAGACAAGATCTGTCAACATCTTTTTGGGGTAAATAGCCTAAGTAATCGCAACGGTTACCAATAAAATACGAAACAGGTGAAAATCAATATAAGACTGATACTTTCTTGCAAGAGCGTGCGTAGTTCAATGGTATATGTAGCATTCGAAAAGGAAACCCAATAGTTCTTTTGGTGAAAGACTTGCCCTGTGTTACTTGAAAACACCTGCGAGTCAGAATAAAGAATACAGACACTTTGATACATTTGGGTTACTGCACACTACAAGCAAGCGTTCTATATTTTATTGTCTTTTCACCCCTTGTCCTGATTCTGAACACACGTCGATCGATCTGTCAGTTAGCAGGTCTTTGCTATGCAATGCACAATGGATACGAACTCATAGCCATATTGTGCCGTGCGACAATCTTGAACGAAAGCATGTCGTCTATCATTAATTTGGAGAGAATCAACCACTGTTTGGAAAAATTGAAATTCAAGGTTAAATGGAAATACTCTACAATTATTTTTTTATTCATATCCTTTTCGTTTCTTCTATTCTACAAAAACATAGATGTACCTTCGGAAAAACTGCAGATACGATTTTTACTAGAGGGCCTGTCAGGTGTGTGGACAACGGACCGCAAAGTGTATGGCGCATCAAGTGAACACCGGTAATCGATGAAAACTAGCTCTAATAATCTATGCAGATCGATTTGTAATTGGGACGGAACGTACATGGTTGGGTAGCACTGGATGGGATCTGCATCCCTTATTCAGTGCGCTCTTAATCCAAATTAACAATAATAACGTAGGCAATGCTTTTAAATGCAATACGACAAAATTGCCTCTTCTACAGGTGTTTTTACTGATTTATTTCATTGCTGCTTTTTGTCCCCAACATTTTTTTTATTGAACCGCTACTACATTACTGTTCTTTGTGCTTTGGCTTCCTTGATCATCATTGTTCATTTTTCTTGTATGTGCAGATCGCCTGAAGCGTCAGCTATGCGCTAGGCAAGATCATGGCCAACTCCGTCATCATCGGCTGGTCAGGCCCGCTCTCCCATAACCTCCGTTGTTTGTTGTGGTCCATCGGGCGGCTGTTGACGGCTGCTGCTGTCGCCGCTGCGTCTTGCTCATATGGCTGTAGAGCCCCGTGAGTGAGTGACGTAGTACATGTGTGTCATTGAGCGAGCTTTTGCCGTTGCCGCCACTATGTTCAGTCCTATTACCACCACTGACATCCACTTAATCCTCGTAAGTTCTGTGCAGTTGTTTTGAGCGTGTGTGTGTGTGTGTGTGTGTAAGTGTGAGTGGGTGAGTGTGCGTCTTGCGGCAGACTCGTTCTTCACTATGTTGTGCTTTAGCGGTCCGCCGTGTCGTTCGGTGTCGTGGAAATCGAATAGTTTCTGTTTGGTATAGCACGATATATTGTGTACAATGCGTGCGGAGGTGAACGTGATAGTGGAGTAGTAGCGCGGCCTGTGAGTGACAAACATCGCCGCAGTCATGGTTATAGTGATGTTGGTGACAAATATTGCCAGGCGTTATCCAGCTCTACTTCCGCCACTTCGTTAGCAGAGACAGGCGCGATACTTAGACACACCTCCAATCTACGGGAAAAGAGAACGCGCCTGGCTAACGCCTGGCGTCCATAGAACATGGCAGAGAGAAAGTTTTCCCGAAGTCTAGCCAAACCCGGGAGTGCGGCACAGGCTCGGGAAACCGTGAGGGATGCTGTACGAGAGAGGACATCAGCGGTAAGTGCCACCTTGGACAGCGCTCAGATAACACCATCACACATCTACACGACGAGACGT